TCCCTTCCTGTGACGTATGCCTTTATCTGTAATTAGTGGGCTGGCACGGCCCCCAAAAGGTATATAGGCGTGGGTCAGCATTAGAGAAGTCTCTCTCGGGCCTCTCTCCCGCTGGGCTCTCATTTGTCGCTCCCCTCTTCCCCCTCTCCTCTCCTGTCCTCTCTCCCTTGTTCCCTTGCCTTCCTTCCCTTCCCCCTCTCTCCATGTGGACCACCAAGCTGGGCTGAGGTTTGCAATGCTACCATGTAATGTGTGTGACTGCATCATTGTAATATCTCTTCTATCACTCATACTCTCGGTGACTTTAATATAATACTTATATACCTCAACCGTACAGTTGTGCTTACTGAACCCGTGGGTAGTAGTAGCGGTGGGGGGCTGGCTCTCCCATCCTCCCCAAATAATCCTACAAGGTAGTAGTGCAAAGTACAAGGCGGCCTACTTTATTCTATTTTTCAGAATTTCTTTGCTTTTCTTGGGCCTCTTCCCTCTACATATGAAGTTATTAATTAGTTTTTTCATTTCTTTAAAAAATGAACTTGGGATTTGGATAGGAATTGAGTTGTGATTGTAGATTGCTTTAGGTAATATTGACATTTTTAGAATATATTCTCCCATTTTATGGAGGTCTCTTGGTTTCTTGTAATAATGTTCTGTAGTTTTCTGTGTACAGTATAGGTCTTTTGCTTCTTTGGTTAGGTTTGTTCCTAAGTATATAAACTTTTGTATGGCTATTATAAATGGCATTGTTTTCTTGATGTCTCTTCACCAGTGTATAGGAATTCGATTGATTTCTACTTGTTCATCTTGTACCCTGCTATACTAAATTCCTCAATGGTTTACAACACTCTTTTTGTGGAGTCTTTGAGAGTCTTTCTATATAAAATCATATTGTCTACAAAGAGCAAGGGCTTCACTTCTCCTTTGCCCAATTTCATTTCTTTGACTTAATTTTGTTGTCTACTGATTCTGGCTAAGATATCCTGTATAAGAGTGGTGATACTGGGCTAGATAGTTTATCTAGTTCTCATTTTCAGGTGAAAGTTTTCCATTTTTCCCCATTGAGTGTGATATTGGCCTGATGGATTTTTATATGTGTCCTTTCTTATGTTGAGAAATGTCTTTTCTATTCCTGTTTTATTGAGTGTTCATTTTAGAATAGGAGTAGGTAATTGTCAAATGCTTTTTCTGCATCGATCAATATGATTATGTAGTTCTTATTCTTTGTCTTGTTTATATGGTAGATTACATTTATTGTTTATCTAATGATTAACTATAAATGCAAAAATTCTCAATAAAATTCTCACCAATAGAATCCTACTTGGTCATTATTTTTTTTTAATGTTGTTGAATTCTATTGGCCAGAATTTTGTTGAGAAAATTGGCATTTATTTTCATGCAGGATATTGGTCTGTAGTTTTCTGTTCTCACAGAGTCTTTGCTTGGTTTGGGTATCAAGGTTATGCTGGCATCATAGAATGATTTTGAGAGTTTACTGTCCCTTTTGTATTCTGGAATAGTCTGTGTGACAGCTCTTCCTTCCCCTGTGAAGCCATCTGACCTTTTCTTGATTGGAAGTTTATTGATAACCTCTATTTTTTTTTCTTTTTTAACATTTTATTAGGGGCTCATACAACTGTTATCTCAATCCATACACACATCAATTGTGTAAAGCGCATTTGTACATCGTTTCTCAAAACATTTTCTCTCCATTTAAACCCCCGACATTGGGTTTTTTTTTTTTTTGGTGTGGTTCTCTTCAGGTGTCTTACATGCTTTGATTTGGGTAGAGTTGTATATCTAGGTATTGTTCATTTCTTCTAGATTATCAAACATGTTCAGGCTTTTGAAGTATTGTGTGACTATTCTTTTTATTCACTTGGATCTGTTGTGATGTCACCCTTTTCATCTCTAATTCTACATAGTTGCATCTTCCCTTTTTTTCTTTGTTAAGTTTGTCAGCAGTTTATAAATTTTGTTAATCCTTTCAAAAACCAACTTCTTGTCTTATTGGTTTTTTTCATTGGTTGTCTGTTTTCCACTTCATTTATTTCTGCTTTAACCTCTTGTTTGGAGGGTTTATATTGTTCCCTTTGTTCTAGCTGTTGAGGTGCTTTGTTAAGGTGCTGATTTTGAATCTCTTCTCCTCTCATATGTGCATTGATTGCTATAAATTGCCTTCTTAAAACTGCTTTTGCTGTGTCCCAAAGGCTTTGGTATGTGTTATCGTTGGTGATAGTTGGATGATTTTATGTGAACTATACACTTCTGTCTAAACCTGTCAATTATGTGGTAGCTTGATGATACCTCCTATAGTGTGTAAACTTTTATGAGAACGAAGGACTCTGGGAATTGCTTTCTCTCTACCACTTTGTCTTCTTCCTTACTGGGACTTCACAGACTGTCTGCTTCCGGGGGTGGCCCCATGTGGGCCATCTGACCCTGATAGAGGTGAGTACCTTGCCATGCTTCTATCTTAGATCCATGTGACTCTGCAACCACTGATTTGTGACCTTCTGCTTCCCAGTTCACCACTCTGTGTCATCAGCATGTGACTACATGGAGCTGAAAAGGGACTTATTTATTAGCATTGGACTAAGGGACTTGAGTTGGACTTGGCTATGATGCATTCTTGATATATAAGGACATAATGATTTAAAGCTCTTTCTGATATGTTTATGAGTGTCCTGGATTTGTTTCTCTAGTCAACCTGGCCTAACACATCATTCTCATTTGTTTCAAGGAATAGTTTCATTTCATCCCCTATTTGATCTACTATCCAGTTGTTTTTAAGTAATATGCTATTCAGTGTCAATCTATTTATCTTTATATTCCAATTCTTTTCTATTGTTCATTTCCAGTTTTATAGCATTGTGATCTGAGAAAATGGATTTTAGAATATCAGTGTTTTTTAATTTGTTGAAGTTTGCTTTGTAGCCTAATGTGTGCTCTATTCTAAAGTGTATGCTGTGTGCGCTGGAGAAGAATGTACACCGTGTGATTAAGAAACTGAAGAATTCTACCAATGCCTTCTGTCAGAAATTGATCAAACATGCAATCAAGATGCATTAATCATTATTGGAAGTCAGAATGCAAAAAGTCAGAAACAAAGTGGAAGTAAGTTGGAAAATATGGTCTTGATGATATAAATGAAATGGACAATCACATGATAGAATTTTGCAAGACCAAAGACTTGTTTCTAGCAAAGACCTTTTTGCAACAATACAAATGGTGACTATACACACATGTACTTCTGTAGATGGAATACACAAAAATCAATTTGAGTACATCTATGGGAAGAGATGATGGAGAAGCTCAATATCAGCAGCTAAAACCAGACTCAAGGGGCTGACTATGGAACAGAGAATCAGTTGCCCATATGTAAGTTCAGGATAAAGCTGAAGTAAATTGAAACAAGTTCACAAGAGCTACAGTATGATCTTGAGTATATTTTACCTGACTTTCCAAAACATCCCAAGAACAGATTTGTTGCATTGAACATTAGTGATAAAGGACCTGATAAGCTATGGGATGACATCAAGAACATCATACATGAGGAAACCAAAGAATCATTAAAAAGACAAGAAAGAAAAGATCAAAGTGGATGTCAAAAGAGGATCTGAAACTTGCTCTTAGTCATAGAGTCGCTAAGGCAAATGGAAGAAATGATGAAGAGCTGAACAGAAAATTTAAAATATACAAACTTTCTATGGGAAAAAATGTTGACCAATCGAGGATGCACCAAAAGAAGATGAAAAGAATACAAAGAGTCACTACCAAAAATATCTAATTGACATTCAGCCATTTCAAGAGATAGCATGTGATCAAGAACCAATGATGCTGAGGGGAGGAGTCCAAGCTGCACTGAAAGTACTAGCCAAAAACAGGGCTCCAGGATTGATGGAATACCAATTGAGATGTTTTAACAAGCTAATGAAGTACTGGAAGCACTCAATGGTCTATGCCAGGAAATTTGGAAGACAGCTAGTTAACGAACTGACAGGAAAAGATACTTTTTGTACCCATCCCCAAAATTAAAAGAAGGTGACCCAATAGAATGTTCAAATTATAGAACAACATCATTGATATCACATGTGAGTTAAATTTTACTGAAGATCATTCACGAACAGTTGCAACAGTACATTGACAGGGTGCCAAAGGTTCAGGCCAGATTCAGAGGAGGATATGAAACAAGAAATGTCATTGATGATGTCAAATAGATGTTGACTGAAAGGAGAGAATACCAGAAAAATGTTACTTGTGTTTCATTGACTTATGCAAAGGCATTCAAATGTGTGGGTCATAACAAAGTGGGAATTCCAGAACACTTCATTGTGCTCATGAAGAACTTGTACATGGATCAGGGAGCAGTTTTGCCAACAGAACAAGGGAATACTGCATGATTTAAAATCAGGAAAGGTGTGTGTTAGGATTGTATCTTCTCACCATACTTATTCAATCTGTATGCTGAGCAAATAGTCCTAGAAACTGGACTATATGAAGAAGAAAGTTTGGGATACTGCCATTTTTTGTTTTTCCTCGGGGGCGCTGTGTTTTATTCAGGCCTAAAAAGCAAACTGTTATTTGGAAACCCTGGGCTATCTCACAGCGATTCAGAAGTCCTCTGTGAATCTTGTACTTGTCAATGTCAACTGTATTTGTACTTGTCAGTGCTAAACCTTGATCACACCATTGGGGTGAGAAGCAAACTATTGACAGTGTCCCTCATGATGGTAGTAGCAACTGGAACATCAGGGGGCAGAGACTCATGGAGATAAAGCTGGAGACCCTCTTCAGTACCCTCTCAGCCACGTCCTAGGGCTAATCTCAGGAGCGCTGGGTCTTCTTTCCATTTCGAAAAACTTACATTCTTATGTCCCATTTGAATTAAGATTTCTATTTCAAGGTTTATAAATGATACATGCTTTATGAAATGAAATGTATTTCTATTTTTAGAGTCTATCACTAATGTTCCATGTGCATGTTTGTCTCTCTCCTAGGATGTTTGAAGCCCATATGCAGAACTACAAGGGCGATGACCCACTTGGTGAATGGGAAAGGTTAGCATTTAGTTTATCTTATTCCTATAAACAAACGATGCTGTTTTGAAATTTGACATTATCGATGTTTTTCTAGTTATATGCGGTGGGTAGAAGAGAATTTTCCTGAGAATAAAGAATACTTGGCAGCATTATTAGAACAGTTAATGAAGACGTTTTTAGAAAGGAAGAATTATCACAATGACCCAAGATTCATCCATTACTGTCTAAAATTTGTAAGTATACTTTCATATGTCTAATCAAATCTATAATCGCATTAAACCTTTGCTTCCTTGCCCCACTTAGATTTTAAGATTATTTTACTATTTTAAAAAATTGCTTTCAAATTAATCCCAACTCATGGCAGCCCCATGTGTTATAGAATAGAACTGTGCTACATAGGAGAGTGGCAGAGTAAGTAAACCTTCTCAGCTAATTAGAAGGATTCTGGGGCTAAATTAAGTTCATTGTGAATAATTAATGGCCTATTAACTCAGAAACTATAAAGAGAACATGCCCCCAGTTTAGGGCTTGAAAGATTTGGTCTCAGTAACCTGAGAATAAAGCCTTAAGGTCTTGTGAGCTGTAATAATCATGAATGGAATGAAACCGAAAAACATGGATTTGTTCACTAAATTACAAAAACTAAGATGGGAGGTACCCCATAGAGCTTAATAAAGTTCAACTTAAGACAAAATAAATACCTTAGTTAAGAAATTGATATGGAATGCACTGCCTTGAGAAAGACTATGGGTAATTTTCAGGATGTTGCATGTCAAGGATAGGAAGGCATCTCACCTTTAAGAAACATGCATCCTCCTTCATTTCAGAGGCATTTGCGGAAACTGAACTTTGGGGCTGAATGAACCCTGGACCAGATGTAAAACAGATTTTCTTTGTTTTTCTCCCTGTTTGGCCTCCCATAGGCTGAGTACAACAGCGACCGTCATCAGTTTTTTGAGTTTCTGTACAACCAAGGGATTGGGACCCTGTCATCCCCTCTATACATCGCCTGGGCCGGGCATCTGGAAAACCAGGGAGAGCTGCCGCATGCCAGTGCTGTTTTTCGGAGAGGACTTCAAAACAAGGCTGAACCTAGAGAACTACTACAACAACAGCACAGGTGCTTCTAAGAGAGACTCCTGCTTTGTCATGTGATGCTTGCTCCGAATTTCTTTTTTTTAATTGTCATCTCTTTGTATAGGGAAATTCTCAATGTGGAAAATCTAGATAATACAGGCAGATGTAAAGAAATAGAAACCACCAAGGAATATTACTGTTAACATTTCCACACATTTCCTTTCAGTATTGTTTCCTACACCTGTTATGTGAGTCTTTGTGTTTCTATTTTAAACAGTAAATCTTACCAGAAGTCTGGGTCTATACACTGAATTTCACACTACTTTTAAGAAAAAAGAGCTTTTATACTACTTAGACAATGGTTGTGGAATCTGTCAGTTACATACTCTCCTATGACATTTAAGTTATTGCCAACATTTTGATTTTTAATTTTTATAGAGAATGACATAACTTTGACTTTTCCCCCCAATATTCTTTTTCTGTGGTTAAATACACTTCATTGAAAAAAATTTGCAAGTACTAAAAACTAAAGAAAAAGAAGAAACTTTTTGGCATTATTTTGTGTGTGCTTGTTACAGGTTTGCAAGCATCCTTTATGTGCATAGGCAGCTTTGTATCAAAGTCATATTTTTAATGAAAGACTTTTCCAAAGTAGTTGCTATTTTTATATAATTCTTATGGATAGATTCTCAGACTTGAAACTCTTAAGTCAAGAGTGTATGGAGAGTTTTAAGAATTCTGGTCCATTTAGCCAAACTACCAATTCAAAAGGTTATGCAGTGTTTTACTTTCCCCCTCACTAGCATTACACCAAAATCCATTGCCATTGAGTCAGTTATGACTCTTAGCAACCCCATATAGGGTTTCTGAGATGGTAAATCTCTACAAGAGCAGATACCTTCAACTCTGCCCTGGGTTACAGCTCTTGATTTGATCCATCAACCTTGTATTAGTAGCCAACACTTATCCACAGGATTGCCAGGACTCACTGCACTCGTTACCAGCACAGTTAATATCACATTTATTTATTTATTTATTTATATAGTATCATTTTTTTTTCCAACTTTGTCACAGTACTCATGCTTTCTAAACTGTTTTATGAGAAACTTCAAACATTGATTAAGAAAGAAAAACTACTATCATGAACCTCCATTTACCAATCCCCTACTTTTTGTAGGAGATTATTGACATTTTGCTTTGATCATAATTTTTCTATGCTAAAGATTTTTTTTTTTTGGATCATTTTATTGGGGGCTTGTACAACTCTTATCACAATCCATACATACATCCATTGAGTCAAGTACATTTGTACATTTGTTGCATCATCATTCTCAAAGCATGTTCTTTCTACTTGAGCCCTTGGTATCAACTCCTCATTTTTTCTCCCTCCCTTCCCTCTCTCACAAACCCTTGATAATTTATAAATTATTATTATTTTGTCATGTCTTACACAGTTTGATGTCTCCCTTTACCCACTTTTCTGTTGTCCGTCCCTCAGAGAGGAGGTTATATGTAGATCATTGTGATCTGTTCCCCCCTTCTCCCCCACCTTACCCTTACCCTCTTGGCATGGCTACTCTCATTATTGATCTTTTTTTTTTTTCTTTTTTTAAGTACTTTTAAAAAAAATCATTTTACTGGGGGCTCATACAACTATTATCACAATCCATACATACATCAATTGTATGAAGCACCTTTGTTCATTGCTATCCCCATCCTCCTCATTTGCTCTCCACGTAAGCCTCTGGCATCAGCTCCTCATTGTTTCCCCTCCCTCCCCGCTCCCCCGTCCCTCATGAACCCCTGAGAATTTATAAATTATTATTTTGTCATATCTTACACTGTCCGACATCTCCCGTCACTCAATTTTCTGTTGCCCTTCCCCCAGGGAGGAGGTTATATGTAGATCCTTATAATCTGTTCTCCCTGTACCCCACCCTCCCTCCACCCTACCAGTTTCGCCACTGGTCCTGAAGGACTCATCCGCCCTGGATTCCCTGTGTTTCCAGTTCCTATCTGTACCAGTGTACATCCTCTGGTCTAGCCAGATTTGTAAGGTAGAATTGGGATCATGATAGTGGTGGGGAGGAAGCATTTAGGAACTAGAGGAAAGTTGTGTTTCATCATTGCTACACTGCACCCTGACTGGCTCGTCTCTTCCCCGTGACCTTTCCATAAGGGGATATCCAGTTATACTGAAGAATTTTGAAGCAAATGCAAGACCATAAAATGTTTTACCCTAAACATGTCCACAAACATTTCTTGAGCCTATTTGTTATAGAGCTTTGATGCTGTTATCACATCCAACAAAATAATTTGCAATCAGTATTGAAATTTCCCCATCAAGTGACCCCCCCCAAAATTTTTTTAACTGTTGATTTATTGAGAAACAAGGTCCACAAATTGCATTTGATTATACAACTCTTAGTCTTTTTATACCTTGATTCTCGGCACCCAAAAATGTCAGGTTTACAAATTGCACATTACTTATCATGTATTAAAAAATGCACTGCAATTGAGTCTGTTCCAACTCAAATCAACCCTGTATAGGCTTTCTGAGACCGTAAACCTTAACAGCTGGTGCATGTGAACCACTGACCTTGAGGTCAGCAGTCTAATTCTTATCCAACAGTACCACCAGGTGCCTTGAAGGCATATTTGAGAACTTCTCAAAGAACATAAACAATAGTACATCAATCAGCCTTTTGAAATAGACGGTTTTATATTTTCACTTCTTCCAACTATATTCACCATGATCCAGACATCACACAAACTCTACTGTTCTTGAGTTGATTCCAACTCATAGCAACCTTATAGGACAGGATTTAGCTGTCCCATAGGGTTTCCAAGGCTATAATCTTTACAGAAGCAGACTGGCACACATTTATTCCTCAGAACCACTAGTAGGTTTAAAATTGCCAATCTTTCAGTTAGTAACTGAGCACTCAAACCCCTGTGCTACCAGGACTCCTCTGACCCAGGTGTATAAAATTGCTAAAAGTTAGAACTCATTGTGGGGTGACATTAACAGGCTGTCATTTGTTACATAAGGTCAAGAAATACATAAATTAGACAAGCTGAGGACTTTTCCTAACATGAAGGCATTGGGCGTGACTTTTTTGTGACATTGAAACAACTGTATAGTTCAACTTTGTGTTCTCTCTTGACAGTCTCCACTACTTAAAATCATTTCCTTATGTTTAGTTTTCACCTTAATCGCGATACATATTAAACTGTACATTTATGATCTATATTTAGGTTATTTCAGAAACGCCTCACCGAAACGCACTTGCCAGCTCCAGGTAAAGTAATGCTTCCTAAAATGTCTAGATGGCTTATAACACACTTTCTGACTTGTGCTGCTTTTTAGAATTTCTTTTGAAAAACAAACAAAAATCTGCATATCTATTGAGTTCTCAGTTGTATTCTTTTAGGTAATAAGAAAGGCACTCATAATAATCATCATCATTAGAAGCTGACGATCAGAGGCTCTGTGTTACTTCAGAAAAGCAAACCCACAAGAAAAACATGATGCTTTATATTTTCAAGATTAAAAAAAAACAAAAATAACAGGTTTAAGGATAGTACTTACTTTGGAATTTTTGTATTCCTATTTTTATTCCATTCTTCCATGAGCTTTTTGAGGCTTCCTCATCTGTACGGTAACTTTTTGAAGAAATATATTTCAAGCAATGAACATTGACTAACCTAAGCTGATTGAAATAATTAGATAAGTTTTCTATTTCTTTGAGTACTTGCTTAGGCATTTTGAGTTAATCAGAAAATTGTTTTCATAACATTTCTTATCTAAACACGTTTTATATTGTCAGTTTGAAAAAGTTGATTAGTTTTATATGTTATTTGATTGAAAGATGAAATGTGTTATGTAATCATGATCCTTAACATGGTTTTAGGCTTATTCTTCCATATTTCTTCCTGTTTCTCCACAGCTAGAACCTCCGAACCTCTACATAATGCTCAGCGTATAAATCAAATAGTAACATCTAACTCAAGTCCAGGAAATAAGTTGGCGTGCATTTCTAAAACTCAGGTCATAACAGTATTTGTGAGTTGAGGGGAGACTGTGGATGGAATTGAAATGGTTCACTTCTACATCCTTTTGCTATCTCATTTCTTTGATTTTTTAACCTTTGGTTAACCTCCATGTCAACTACAACTGAAGTGACTTTCTGTCACTGTTCACCTCATAGAAGGGGACTTCAAGGCTATTGTGGAAAAATTCCATTGGGCTTAAAGTTTTTTGGTGGTGATGTTATCTCTCTTTGCTGATAACTGAATGCTTAAATTTGTTTTCTGTCCTTTAAGGGATCAGAACTTGCTGGAATTACATCTTCAACATGTGATAAAGAACTGAATACGCAAGTATAATTAGTGCATTTATCCATTACTTAGTTTAAGAGCTATTCACATGCACTGTTGTAAGCAGTATATTTTCTCCCATTATAGGGAACAAAGAGTGGTCATGATTTCTAAATCAGAATATTCTGCGTCTTCGACAGCCAAAGCTGATGTTAAGCAAGTTGTTATGTATTGCAAAGAGAAGCTTATTCGTGGAGAATCAGAATTCTCCTTTGAAGAACTGAGAGCCCAGAAATATAATCAGCGGAAAAAGCATGAACAATGGGGTACTTACAACCTTATCTAATACTGCTTAAAATAATCCTCCTCTCTGAAGAGTACTTTTATATAGTTCTCTATGCTGAAAGTATCTATGTATATATATCCATGGTTATTCTTTTGCAAGCCTAGAAATCTTTGTTAAATACTAGTCTAGCAGCCATGTTTGTACAAGGACCAAAGTGTAGGCTTGACAGAAGAGATTATAGTTGAAACCGCTCTGGGGAGGTAACAATGCATATGAGCTTATCGCCTTATCTTTTACTATGATATCTTTTAAATGTAGTTGATTTTATTTTAACTTATGTGAACTTTTATAAATGATTCTAAACCTCTAGGTGAGTTATTTGTACTGTGACTGGATTAGGACAGGAAGTTGCATTCAGTAGAGATTTTTAATGATCTCAAGTACTCCAGATACTTTCTGAAGGGCCCCTGATCTAAGTGCCATGCTATTTATGGAAAGATGGTGTGTCGGGGTTTTTGCTCACATCAAAAGCTTTGTTCTTGAGGCCAGTGTCTGCACTGGCTTTGTTTTCACAGCATGGCCCTGAGAGATAGAACAACGCAGAGGCCTTTCTTTTTGTCTTTTTTTTTTCATGTCTAGTCACCAACTAAGAAAAGCTAGTCCATACTTATCACAATACTGGACCCACTTCGTGTGGTGTGCAGAGGCGTTTCTCTTTCACATTTAAAATCTTAAACCAGATGCTTTGACTCATGGAATACATTAATATTCACCTAGTTATTGGAAATAGGGCCAACTAAAGCATGCCTGAGGCACTGGCTTCCTTGTGTATTTTACTTTTTATTTTGAGAAAGCACTTAGAGATTTTTATTAAAAAAGAAGAAAAAACTTCCATTTTCAGATAATTTGAAGTCATGATTGTTTCTCAAAAGCTATATTTTAGTGCTGCTATAACAGAAATAACATAAGTAGATGGCTTTAACAAACAGACATTTTTTCCTTAAGAGGCTAACGTTCTAGACCCAGGATGCTATCTTTAGGGAAAAGCTTTTTCTCTGCTGGCTCCGGAGGAAGGTCTTTGCCTTTTCTGAGCTACTGTTCCTGGCGGCAATATTCATGTGGCTTGGAATCTCTCTTCTGCACTCTCCTTGTTAACTTGTGTTTAATCTCTTCTATTTCAATATTGATTGGCTCAGAGCATACCCCACACTAATCCTGTCTCATTAGCATAATAAAAACAACCCGTTCCCAAATAGGATTATGACCACAGACAGACATCTTTCAGAGAAGACACAGTTCAATCCTTAAGAGTAATCATGCTGAGGGCAAATAAAAATTATGGTTAAAGGACAGATAAACCCTCAGGTACAGTAATGGGAGTAGCGATACCATGAGGGTGGAGGGAAGGTTGGGGGAGAAAGAGAGAATCAATTGCAATGATTGATATATCGCCCCGTCCCATGGCCAGGGGGACAAACAACAGAAATGTGGGTGAAGGGAGACAGCGCACAGTATAAGATAGGAAAATAACAATAATTTATAATCTATCAAGGGTTCCTATGGGTGGGAGGGTGGGGGAGTGAGGGAAAAAATAGCTGATACCAAGGGCTCAAGTAGAAAGAATGTTTTGAAAATGATGATGGCAACATATATACAAATGTGCTTGACACAATGGATGTATAGATTGTTCTAAGAGCTGTAAGAGCCCCCAATAAAATGATTTATATTTAAAAAATTATACTTAAGCTGAAGTGCTTCTAATAACCTAATAAATATTGAAAAGATTTTTAAGCATCCTAAAATTACCTTTAGTGTATTTTACATGTATGTCTCTAATGGCCTGTATTTAAACTTTCACGTCTAATCCACTAATTTTTTTATGTATTCTAAAGTTAATGAAGACAGACATTACATGAAAAAGAAAGAAGCAAATGCTTTTGAAGAACAGTTATTAAAACAGAAAATGGATGAGCTTCATAAGAAGTTGCATCAAGTGGTGGAAACATCACAGGAGGACTTGCCAACCATTCAGGAAAAACCTGAGGTATAGAGGTGCTCTTTGCTGAAACGCCCTGTACGCAGTAACTGATTTCAGCTTTTATTTGCTCCATTCTGTGCCCTATTTTTAGAATTTGTTCTGATATCAGTTTAAAAGTAACTTTGAAAATAATTTGATTTAGAAAGATGTTCAAAACAAAGCCTGAGTAAAAGATATTACCAACAATTAAGTGCTTTGCTGCTAACCGATAGGATAGTGGGTCAAGTCCACCTAGTGCTGGTGGTCTGCTTCCATAAAGATTACAGCCAAGAAAACCTTTGGGGGAAGTTCTGCTGAAATTGGAGATTGCTGTTAGTCAAAACTTATCCAATGACACCTAACACCAACAACAAAGTATTGTCATCTGAACAATATTCTTATAAGTCTTCCAGTCCTTCACGTTGTGGAATATGGATGCCTTTTCATTGACTTAGGGCTTCTTTAACTTCTTACAATGATGTTCATAGTCTTCAGTGAATAAGACGTCATAGTCTTTAATGCTTCTTTCATTAATTTATTTTTTAGGGAGAGGGATTTTTATGCTCTCCCTGCCACCCCTATTTTATTGTGAGCTCTTAGAGATATTACAACAATCCATAATTCAATTAGATCAAGCATGATTGTAGAATTGCTGCCACCATCATTTTCTTCTTGCAGTCTTTCATATGAGCTCCCCTTTGTCCCTGCCCCCCACCCAACGCCCCAAAAACCCTTGTTATTATATTAAATATTATTATTGTTGTTCATTTTTTTTGGTGCCATATCTTAAACCATCCAGTGTATCCTTTTACCTGCATTCTGTTATTCATTCCCCTTGAGTGGAGTTATATAGTCTTCATTGCTGTCAGTTCCCCCTCTCCCCCTTCTCTTTTTGTGCCCTCAGGGAATCATTACTCCCATTATTATTTCTGAAGGGTTTATCTTTCTTGGATTTCATGCATCGAATGGTCTTAATTATACAAATGAACTTATGCAGGTGTAACAGGATTAATGAGGCAAAAACTAAGACCATAATAGTAGGGGCAAGAAATATTAAAGAACTAGAGGATACTTATGTGTTTCAACACTGCTATACTACCCCCTGGATGGATCGATCATCCCTTCTGTGTGGCCTTTCTGTGAAGGACTGTCCAATTATCTTGCAGGTGGTTTGGGGCTCTCCACTTTCTCTATGATCCTTCACATCAATGATTTTATGCTTCTTAATGTGGTGAATAAAATTGTGTTCTTAATTTCCTTTTCACATTGTTTGCTGCTTATACAACTGATGGTTGCATGCTTAATTTAAAATTTGTGTTCTGCAACTGTGCTCTTTTTCCTGGCTCTAGCAGTTTTTGTGGGAATGCTTTATCACTTTCTTTGCATCCTTGTTAGGTCCCATTGAGTCAGCTCTGACTCCTAGTGTCTTTATGTGCAACAGAACAAAATGTAGCCTAGTTCATCACCACGCTCATAATTGTTGCTATGATGATGCCCACTTTCTATGTGTTAGTTCCTATCAAGTCAATTCTGAATCTTAGCAACCCCATTTGTGCACAGTAGCATTGCTCCACAAGGTTTGACCTTCCAGAAGCAGGTTACTAGGCTTGTTCATGACGCAACTGCCAGCCTTTCAGCTAGTAGTCAGTGCTACCTGTGTATTCTCTTTTTCTATGGAGATCATGCTATTTGCAAATAAATATAGTTGTATATTTTTCTTTCCAGTTCGTATGTCTTTTTCTTATCTGATTGCCCTGGCTAGAAGCTTCCATATTTTATTAACTAGAAGTAGCAAAAGTGGGCATCCTTGTTTTGTTCCTGATATGAAGAGAACAGCTTTCAGTCTAATGTTAAATATGATGTTAGCCATTGGCTAAATGTAGGACTACTAATCACTAGGCTGGTTGTTCAAACTTACCAAGATGAAGCTCTCGGTTCCTGTAAAGCTTTTTAGCCTTGGAAAACCCTGTATAGAATCGCTCTTGATCACAGTGGGTTTGGATTTTTTGAATGGGTTGTTCATATGTAGCCTTCCCTTCTACTCTTTAAGTTGCTCAGTATTTTATCATGCAAAGATGTTGGATTTTGTTTTTCTGCATCAATTGGGATAATATTGGGGTTTTTTTCCTCCTTTCTAGTAATTTGGTATATTAATTGATTTTTGCATGTTGAATCCTACTCTTGTATTCCTGGGATAATCCCCAATGGGTCATTGTATGCTGCTGAAATTGATTTGCCTAGTATGTATGGGAAATTGGAGGGTGACCACATTAGATCACAAATGGAGAAACGACTATTATATAACTGGAAAATTACATAATTATGTAGCTGCTAGTTGCATCACTACATAGCTATTAAACCACTGAGAACCATGGGCCATGACATAAAAACCTTAACCATCACAGCAACAGTACTCTTGCCATGTGCCTTGGAGTTAGGTAATGTGTAATATTAAGTAATATGTCAGATAGTTGATATTTTAATATTACTGTAAATATAAAATGTTGTATGAAGAAATAGTTGATAAGTGAGCATTAAATGGATTTTATGATTTGTATATAAATTGAGATATTGGTCTGTAGTTTTTTATATCTTTGTCTGGCTTCATTTTAACGTGGACTTCATAGAATAAGTTAAAAATGGCCCCCTTCTCTCCTATCTTTTGAAACAGTATGAGAAGGATTGCTTTTTATTCTTTAAATATTTGTTATACAGAGATTACTGCCCCGCCCCTCCAAAAATGATGCGCATTTGTTTTTTAGATGTGAGGGAGATAGTGCATTTGGAGTTCATTCCAACAGATCAGACTGTTAATCAAGCTTTCTATTTAGAGGTTCTGAAGAGATTGTGTAATAGCGTGTGACAAAAAAGGCCTGATTTGTGGCAGATGGGAGGACTGGTTTTGGCACTACTACAATGCATGTGGTCATGCAGCCATCTCAGTGCACTAGTTTTTGGCAAAAAACAGCATTCCTCTCTTGCCCCATGCATCTTACTTACCTGACCTCACTTCATGCAACTTCTTTTTGTTTCTTCAAATGAAAAGGGATATGAAAGGACAGGGATTTGATGATGATGTAGAAGAGGTGAAGCAAAAACGAAGGAAGGTGCAGTCAGCCATCCAAACAGATGAGTTTGGAAAATGTTTCCAAGAATGGAATTGCAGATTTGGCATGTATTAAGTATAATGGAGAGTACTTTGAAGGTGATAAGGTTGTTTTGTAAAAAAAAAATTTAAATACATAGCTTTGAAAAAAATATTTTCTTTTTTTGGGTGGGGGAACCCATCGTAATTCACAAATAAAGACATCTTCTTCCTTGAAGGATCAGAATAGGAGTGTGGGAGAAATCAGTGAGGATAAATAAAAGAATATGACTAACTGTAGGTTGCTTGTCTGTTAGAATTCCTTGATCCTTATGACTAAATATCTTATATGCACTATAGAAAACCTTTGAAAATAAAGAGAAATATGAGAAGAAAATTAAAATTATATGTTCACCATTTAGAGGTGAGCTTTGATAACGTCTTGTGGTTCTTTTGTCTTACACACATGGACACATAGTCATTTTTTCTTTTCTCATATTAAACTTTACCTCTTAAAGGTAATTTAGAAGTTAAAAAGAATGGAGTTCTTCTTACTTAGAAAAATGCTCACAATTGTTAGTAATTTTATTTTGAATGATTCATAATATTATACATGTATAATCTATTAACATGAATGTTTCCTAATTTATTTAGTCAGTTTTAGTATATTTTTACTTTCATGGATATTTCTAATTTTATTCAGTAGCTGAGAAAAGAGTAGGACATTTTGATGACAAATGTTTCATGAAGTTTTTTTCTCTTGTTGATTCTTTGAATTAGCTTCTATTACCTTGGAGATTTGGTATTTTTCTTAATAATGTGCAAGAATACTTGTGAGGCTATAAACCCTTCTGCCTTTTTACTTTATAGCACTAGAGTATAGAATTGATTAAGAGCATGTAGCATAAAAACCAAAAATTTAATACTGAGAGCTAATTATTTTCCTTCCCAAGTGACCTACGCTTTTGTAGTGATTGCTCCAAAAAACAAAACAAACAACAACAAAACTCTCACTGCCATCGAGCCGATGATCTTATGCGTTTCTGAGAGTAGAACTCTTAAGCAGAGCAGAAAGCTGCACCTTTCTCCCGTGAAGTGACTGGTGTTTTCAAACTGCTGACCTTATGGTTAGCAGCCCAACTCATAACCACCAAGGCTCCAATGATTACTACCAAAACCCAAGCTCACTGCCATCGAGTCAATGCTGACTCCAAGTCTGTCACTGTTTACGCGAGTAGAAAGCTCAGTGGTGCTGATTGAACTGTCGACCATGAAGATCACAGCCCCACCTGCAACCACCAGGGCTCCCTTCCAGCAATTACTAGTGCAGGTTATGTTCATATTGCCTATTCATTAAAGAGGAAATAACTACTGTTGAGATTTTAATGGGAGAAAGGCCAGTGTGATCATTTGATAGCATTGCTTTTGTGGATCTTTTCCAAAGTTAAGTAAAGAGAATTAACACAATCATTAAATATTGCTAAAAGCATGAAGACTGATACAGTGGTTAAGAAATGTGAACTGCCAGTGGTATCTGTCTTTTAGAAGCTACAAAACATCTGTCATTTAGAGAGGTCTTTTTCTGTCCACTCTTCCTTTCGGGATACTTGTGAGGCTAAGGAATGCTTCAAGCAGAAAGGGATGTGCTGTAAACAAATGTAATTCTTTGAAAAGCTGCCATACCTAGTTAGTAATAATCTGGACTTAATCATTTTGTTTGTGTCTGTTTCCTTTACATGAAAGGTTAATACAGTATGCCAGGGGCCAGACATAGGATCCCAGGAGGAACCAAGACAATCACCTCTTCCAGTTGTACATCCGCAGACTTCAAGCAACACGAAAGAAAAACCCAGCGAACCACCTTCTGCCAAACCACCCATGACAAATGCTGCTGTTACTACTGCTTTCATGTCCCCAGCCATCAGTCAGCTGGTAGCTCATCCTGTGCCTTTGGCAGCCCAGCGAATGACAGACTGTGGATTGGCAGTAGCTCAAAAAGATGCCAGGTAGGCTAACGGTGGTCTTAGTGTTGATAGTGATATGGTTGGCTTTGCCAGCTTCTCTTCTTGATCTCTAGGGTCCGAGCAGTATGTCAAAGAAGAATGTGCCCTGTTTTTTAAACTAACACAGATGAGTTTGTTGTTGAAAAAACCTAGTCACCAAAACATTGGCCCCGAATATTTTAGACTTATATATGCATATTAAAAAAATATATTTGTTGTACTTCATTCGTGCTTTTCTCTTGAACTTAAAATTTTCAGTACCTAAAAGTCAGATCTCTTTTTGTTACTGAAGAGTAAATAACTGTTTGACTGAAAATTGCATGTTCTTAGTGACTTTGAACAAATAACATGAGTGATTATTGCTGACAATACAGTTCCTTGACCTGTGATCTCATATGTGATTCCTTCTGTCTTCCCCGGGGGTATAGTTTGGGATTAATAGCCATGACAACTAGCCATGGGATTAATAGTCTGCCAAATCTACACCTACACTGCTCAGGAGATTTCCACCAGTTTCAAATCTTTTTCTGTACTTTGACAATCAAGTCACATCCCTTTTTCTTTGGTTGTTGCTGTGGAAATTTTTATCCTGTCACTTTGGCTCATTTAACTAATGTTTTTATAGGGATTTGTATAATTTGAAGGGGACTGTACATACCATTTCCTATTTTAACTTTATATCTTAACTAGATTTTTAGAAAATTCTATCAATTCCAGTAGTAAGACAAAATGCAATGACCTTAAACTGTGACAAATATATTGTATATGATGATTTTCTTTTAAAACTATAGTTTTTAAGTCTGGATAAAAATACATTGTCTACTGATTTATTACAAGAGGAATATCCTGTATTGCTAAGCACACCAACCCTTCTTCATATTATGACCCTGCATTGGATTCCCTGAGCCCTGTAGCTTGTGTATATAAATAGGATAACTGGATTAGGGAAACCATTCTTCTGTCCTCCTTCATAATTAGAAATGATTATGATGGCATTAAAATGCAGAATCACTGTGCCATTTAAATATTGAGCACATAGCCTTTATCTATAAGCATTACGTTTTCTTTAAGAAATTGAAGGTTCTCTGATGGCATACTGAGTTATGCATTGGACTGCTAACTGCAATGTCAGTAGTTCGAACCCACCAATAGATTCATGGGAAGAAGATGAGGCTTTCTGCTTCCATAAAGAAGTGCCATCTTGAACTCTCAGAGGCGCTGTTCTCCATCCTGTAGGGTTACTTTGACTCCAAATCAACTCTATAGCAATGGACTTTGTTTTTTGTATTTTTTATATAAATCATCTTGGGGGGAGGCTCTTACAGCTCTTATAACAATCCATACATCAATTGTATTAAGCAAGTCATGTATTTTGATAAATTATATTCATTAGCAGTTCCATTGGCTATATAAGAGTAGACTTATAATTCAATTCTAATTCCAAGCATTTTTCTTCTGTAGTGCGTCTCAATCTTCTCTTCCAAGATGTGTGAGTAAAAGTACTCATGAATTCAAGCCTCAGAGTGGAACAGAAATGAAAGAAGGTACTATTTCATCACAATACGTTTGTTTCTGACATGTTCACCCAACTTCTCCAGGTTGGTCAGAAGTCAGTCTCATGACTATGGTTCTTTTAGGCTTCAGACCTTAATGAACCTAGGTGTTAGCATTCCCCCTTCTTGCAGTATAGGAGAAAAAGGTAGAAATCCACTTATTAATCAGTGTATTTGTTTAGAATTATTTACTATTTTTGAAAACTTTATTAAATTTCTAAACAAAACTCCCTTCGGATACTATCCTGTTAGAAACATTTGTCTACAGGTTAAGTTATATCACATACAGAATGGATACTTCTTCCCTGTGTGACCATGCTATACATTCCACGAACGGTTCATTTGAGATAAACAACTAGAGATCTAGCCAGCCAAGATACTGAGCTGTCACTAGGGTTTTAGGGATTGTACTAACTAATAGGGATGTAGTCAGGAACAAGGATCATGTGGAAGGGAAGGGAAGAAAGTACTGGGGTGGGGCAAGGGAGACTTGAAATTTCAGAGAAGGTGGTCAGGAAAGGCCTCACTAAGACGGCAATAATTGGGTAAAGATCCAAATGGGGACAGCTCCCTTGGAAATACTTCAAGCAGGGAACCAGCGAGCACAGAAAGAAGGCTGAGGTGGTGCAGTTGGAGTGAGCCAGGAAGAAGGATCAAGAAGAGGTTTGAAGGAACTGGGGCTAGCTAAATCATGCAGAGTCTTGTACCCCATTGGCTGAACTTCTGCTGGGTGGGATGGGAAGTCACTCCTAAGATTTGCATTGTGATTATTAACTTGCATTACTTGAAATACTATGAAGATAAATAAGGGTGTTGTTTATAATGCTGCTAATTTTGTTGAACCTTCATTTCCTTTTCTCTAAAAGGATAATTCTGGCCTTACCTGCCTCTTTGGGCTATTATAAAAACAAAGATGAAAGATATGCAAGTGTAATAATAATTGAAGGTCCTTCATGAGCATTATTGACAATAAAAACTTGCACTAGGTGGAATTAGTTACTTATAGTGTGAGACTTCTAAATAATTTTTGTTTCTCTACTAATATATTTTGTCTCAATTCTTTTCATAGCAGGTGAAGTACATAAGTTTGGCAGCACAAACTCTTTTCATACAACTCCAAACACATCCCTGGGAATGGTTCAGGCAACACCATCCAAAGTTCAGCCGTCGCCCACGGTTCACACAAAAGAAGCACTAGGTAGAGCATTTGTTCAGATGTGCAGCATCTTACAACAAAGCACTGAAAGTCCCTCATCAATCATGGTTACTGTTATTCTTCCTGTTCTTTTAAGGTTTCATCATGGATATGTTTCAGGCTCCCACACTTCCTGATATTTCTGACGACAAGGATAATTGGTCATCTCTAGATCAAAATGAAGATGCATTTGAAGCCCAGTTTCAAAGTAATAAAATGCATTTAAAGTTCACTAAGTGCATAGCATTGCGGGTGGTTGCCACAGGAAATATCAGAGATTATACAAGATCCAGGAACCCTGGTTGCACAGCTGTTAAATGTGCGACTACTAATTAGCAGGCCAGAAGTTTGAACCATCATATACTCTTGGTGGACAATATAGCAGTTTGCGTACATAAAGATTCTCAGCAATCTGCTTCTGTAAAGATTTACAACCTGGGAAACCTACTAGGCAGTTCTCCTTGGTCCTTTAGCATCACTATGAGTCAGAACTGACTTCACAGCCATAGGTTTAGCTTCAGTATACAAGCTGTGGCCTTGCCCTTGATTAACTTGCCACATAAGGACAGGGGAAATGTGTGAAATATAACTACAGCAGGACTGGACAGTCTTACATGAGGTACGTTTCTGTTTTGTTTTTAAATAAATAAATGCTAGGAAGGACAAAATCCCCATGGGTAGGAATGCCCAGATGGTCTTAGTACTCAAGTTATGATACGAGCCTTTCTTTCTCAGTAGTGTGATGGTGGTGCAGAGTGTTGGAGAGCCATAGACAAGTTCATATTTGTCTAGAGTCTAGAATTTGTCCTGGAAGCCAGAGAGGTCATAAATGAAAGATAAACAGGATCCTATTAGACTTGGGAAGATTAGAAACATGATGTCTAGAGGTTACTTTTTGCCTGTAAGAAATGGAAAAAACCACTGAAAGCTTTTTTTCATTTAAGTCAAATGACAAAAACTGCTTCCAGAAAGTGTGAGTCCAATGCTATATACATAGCCGATCGTATGGTGGTACAATGGCAGGAACTCCAACACCCACAGGCTCTCTGAAGTTAGTCATCCCTCCCACTAAAAAGTGACTTACCTCATTACTTAGCATTTTGAAAGTGGACACTGGTTCTTTTCTGTTAACTCAGCACTTGCTTTCTTGGTTAGAGTTGAAGTTTAATATAAATTATATATTTAATCTTTTCTAATATGGTAAATGTTATTATATTTCAGAAAATGCACAGTCATCTGGGATTTGGGGAGTCAATAAAATTATTTCTTCTTTGTCTACTGCTTTTCCTGTATTTGAAGATGGAAACAAAGAAAATTATGGGTAAAAACTCACCTAATTAATTTGGGGACGATATATATATATCATAAGAGCCCTGGTGGCATAGTGGATTACATGTTGGGCTGCTAACTAAGAAAAGCAGTTCTAAACTACTAGCTGCTATGAGGGAAAGATGAGGCTTTCTACTTGAGTAAAAATTTACAGTCCACAGGAGTAGTTCTAGTCTGTCCTGAAAGGTCACTATAAGTTGAAATCACTTCAATGACAGTGATTGATTGATATATTGTCATAGTAAAATAGAGACAATGACGATGCACCTTAGGGAGACAAGGTGGTAAGGCAGTGATGACAAATTGCTGTCCTGTCAATACCATGTCTGCCAGTGGATGGGCCTTCTGATCACATGATGGGGTGGTTTTTGCAACATTTTTCTCTAGATCCTATAAACTCTGGAGAGAAGGCAGACCCGGCGTAGCAAAAGCATGTATTAGAAAAGGAAAACTGTATGATTATAAGCTACAAAAGAACTAAGGAGTTTATGGATTTGAAATTGTCTTAAATGTAAGTGAATTCACCAGAACAGGCATCCAGACATGCTCTAGATTATATGGTATTAGTTTGTATTTGAAGGATTAATAATGTAGAAAAGGAGAAGTGGCTTATATTGAAAAAGGCTGCAGAGAGAATGTGTCTTAAAGCTGAGAGGCATTGCTTTAGAGTCATAGCTAGAGGAAGAGTGTGATAGCTCTGGAATTTTCCCTGGTAGCAGTTCCAGTCATGGAAAGAGACGTCATTGTGAAAGGGCATGGCCAACTCTTAGAGAGGAATTCCAGAACTAGACCTGTGAACAAAAAATAAAATGTCCAGCATCCATAACATTACTAGAACGGCTGTATATATAAGGGATATCACTCATTAAATAATTTGTCTGTTACTCTCAGTTAAGTTAGCCTACTTTATTGTTTATACTTTTACAAAACTCTCTCTAGATTACCACAGCCTAAAAATAAACCCACAGGAGCTAGGACCTTTGGAGAACGCTCTATGAGCAGATGTTCTACAAAACCAAATGTAAGTAAATCTTGTCTGTAGACCTATGGTATAGACATATTTGGCCTACTGCCCCTTTTTCATACATATATACACACAAATATGTATATACAGACATATGTATATATTTGTACTATCATCTATAATCCAGGATAAAGTGTAGATATCTGCTTTTGCAACCACCCTGGATCATTCCAGTGCCCCTTAGCGGGGGCCATATTTCCCACTTTGAGAAACATTGGTCTATGCAATAAATATTATAGTTGTTCCTCTTCATAGTACCTCATGATTTTGACACTCAAATAAAACAGTATATGTAAACCCAGGCTGAAAAGTACTCAAGACAATCTTATGTAATGAATGTGTATCTTATGGGATATAATATTGAGAAGAAAAAAACCTGAATTAAATTGGAGGAGCCCTGGTGGCATAATGGTTACATGTTGGCTGCTAACTACAAGGTCAGCCGTTGAAAACCAGCAGCCCCTCTGCAGGAGAAAGATGGGGCTTTCTATCCCATAAAGAGTTACATCTCAGAAACTCACAGGGACAGTTCTACCCTGTCCTATAGGGTCAGTACGAGTCGGAATCAACTCTATTTCAGTGAATTTGGCTTGGCTAGTATGTCATCAATATGCATCAGCAAACAAGTTTGCGTGTTTTTTCTGTTTTATTATAGTAGTCAATACATACAACCCATGTTCAGTTCTTTCCTAGCCTTGACTATTACCCATTGTGTACCTTTCTCTCCATTCAGCTACTCTGGCTGTTATATTACACAGAGCTGGTGCTGTAGTCATTCTTGCTGCAGAAATATGCTAAACTATTTTGTGTTTTTAATTTCGCAGTGGGTTTTTTGTTGTTTTTGTTTTAATTTTTTGTTGTGAATTTGGTAAATGTGTTCCAGAGCACATCTTCAGTTTTTTAATAATTCATATACATTTTATTTCATGTCACTGATTGTAATCTCCATAATGTAACATCACTTATCCCACTTCCTTTGTGTGTTTCATTCCTCCTTGTTTCCTAATACGGTGAGCTTTGTTCTTGAGTAAGTGCTGCCCTAAAGATCTGAAATGGGAAAAAAAAAAAAAAGATCTGAAATGGCTAAGTTCCATTCCAGAGCTAAAGGTTGGCAAAGGGTCTTAAATTTACCTCTCCTGATCAGTCAGTAAAAATGGTCCCTTTTTTGGTTTGTGTTCTGTTTTCCACATTTTTCAAACTATGTAAGCCTTTCTAGCGTGGTGCTTTCCAGAGCAGTTGGTAGCCAGGCACCATAGTGTGTTCTACTGTTCTCAGGGTCATAGAAAGTGATGATTGCATGATTCCTTAAATCCATTGAACTTAGAGTTTCCTTATCACTTTGCATTTTCATGGTTCTCTTTTCCTCTTGACAGAGAGAGTAAGACCAGTAGTTGAACTATAGATTGCTGCTCAAGAATTTTTAAGGTCCCATTGGCTACTTACCAAAGTAGGATATTGAACGTTGTCTTGGAATTCCACAGTGGATTGTTTTGAATAAGCTATTACCCAATCCTTTACCCATTTTGATCAACTGTTTGGCTATTTTCTTAAAACTATTCCAGTTAACAGACTAGATATCAAATGTAGTGGCATTACTTCTCAGGTTCAGTTTACCAAACAAAGCCAATCTATGTGCTTTGACCGGGGTGAGAAAGCAAAAACAAAACACATTCTCTTGACCGCAATACAAGCGATTGCTTTATTTTATATCCATGTGAAGAAATAACCAACCTATTTTTCCTCCCACTTTGGCAAAGATATCCTGGAATATATGAAGACAATGCAGTGTGTATTTTAAAAGGTGTGGAATTTTATGGACACAAAATGGTTTGTCAAATATGATACTGAATTTTCTGTCTTTATGCAGAGATTCTAAAATGTTACCTCTGCACTCAAGGAGAAATAGCTGATTCTACTGCTAGGGCAAAGAAAATACAATTTTTCAACTTAAAAATAAAATTTTAAAAAGATAGGGACATGTCAGAATTACACAGGGGCCAATCTAAACAAACTAGTGCCTGAAGCTGGAACAATGTGAGCAAAAAATAAAGTGGTAAGTGGTTGACACCTAAGAAATAAAATTATACCCATATAGATATAAAATAATTACTGAAGTGACTTTAATACATCCACAAATTCTTGTATGTTCTCTCTAGCAGATGGGTCTTAAATTTCCTTCTCCTTAAGTGTAAGCTGAACTTAGTGATTTGGTTCTAACAAAAAGATAAAAAAGAAGAAAATGGTAACTTTATAGTACAGAAGAAGAAGAAACTTCCTTAACCCAATTGATTGGTTCATTTCACCAGTAATAAGTTGTGTTGCTATCTTGTATCCTCTAATGGGAGAGGGGCACTTTCTAGTTGTCTTCCACAAAAAGCAAGCGACTGGTGCAAAAACATTAAACAAACCCAAACTTGTAAATTCTTGACCCGTACTTTTTTCAACACAAGTACAAAGGAGACTGATAAACTGACACATTAGAGAAGACTAAGGGGAAATGATGACTAAATGCAACTTGGTATCTTGACTTGACTTCCTGGAACAGAACTAGGACATTAGAGGAAAACTGGTAAAATCCCAAATTAAGTGTATAGTTTGTAGTAGTGTATCCATTGATGTCTTAGTTTTTATAAGTGTATCATGGTAAGATGTTATTAATAGAGCAAGAATGAAAAAGGGCACTCTATACAATCTTTGTAACTTTTCCGCAAATTCAAACATTTTATCCACTTTTTCTTGCCAGTTGCCTTTGGGGCAGGTGTTTTCTGGGCTGGAGCTTTCTGGGCTTTCGGAGGCCCAGCCTTTTGACCTGCAGCTTTCTCCTTCTGGGCGGGAGCCTTCTCTTTTTGAGCAGGAGCTTTCTCCTTCTGGGCAGGAGCCTTCTTGCCGGCGGTGGCGGCAGCAGCCCCCTTCTTAGCTGGAACCTTTGCAGCACTTGCTTTTTTGGGAGAATCCTTCAGGAGAGCCGCCCTTTGAAGCTTCTTAACTTCATACTTTATTAGCCGGTTCCTCATTTTCTTTGCCTTCATGACTTTAAAGCGATCAAAATCTATCATCTTGGCTTTCTTTTCTCTGGCTTCAATCTTTTTGGCCCATCTGTGGCTGCCCATTTTGTATTGATATCCGCCTTCTGCCAGGCTTGTCGGACATGCTTCTGTCGGGCACTGTGTGGGAACTTGAGGATGAAGTCAGTGAGCTGCGTGCATTTGAAAGGCATGGCCTGCCTCCTTACTTGAGTGCAAGGGCCATCAACCAAAGCCTGGTTCTGATCAGTCACATCTACATGCGACCAGTTTCCCAGCATGAGGTCCAAAGGAGATGTAGGCCACTCGGCCAACCTCCACGAGGCGCCTGAACACCATCTTGGCGGCATTCGGCGAGAAGTCCACTTTTTTTGTAACAAGCTAAAACTCAATACTTCCATGAGATGTGATTCTTTTGGAGTCTGTTAACAGCAGAGTACAGTTCTGGGCAAAAGGACAGAATAGTGAAGTCCTTGGCTGTGTATTACCCAGGGCTCAGCATCTGTTTTATGTTTCATTAGTTTTTGTAATCTCTTGAGAAATATTACTATATCAAGTTGCATGGACCCCAAAAATGGAGACTGGTGCTTTTTTATCCTCTCATCCTCTCTTGCAGGAAGTGCCACAGGCTGAAGAGTTTTTAGATGATTCAACAGTATGGGGAATCCGCTGCAACAAAACCCTGGCACCCATTCCTAAGAGCACAGGAGACTTTACATCTGCCGCTCAGCTTGCATCTACCCCATTCCACAAACTCCCAGCAGATTCTGTGACCGCTGTAGAAGATAAAGGTGTCTGTGACACTATTTAAATATCTATTTTCTGCCAATTCTGATTCTATATTATAGATATTCTAAATGAGAGATTTGGAAAGCATAATATTCATTTATTACTTATGTGATTTTTTTTCTTGTGACATGCCATTTACACTAAGTGTACAATAAGGGAAAAACCTATCAGAGAATTTAAAGGCAACTTTTACAAAGTCCGAGCCACTTAATATGTTGCTGTTAACTGCCATCAAGTTGGGCATTGATTCTTGGTGAGGCCACAAAAAACGGCATGAATCACTGCCTAGTCTTTCTCCATCCCCAAGATGCGTTGCTTATCTTATTGTTCTGATCCATAAATTTCTAGTGGCTGGTCTTCAGAAGTAGATTACTGGGCCTTTCTTAGTCCATCTTACACTAGAAGCTTCACAGACAGGTGATGCCTGTGTGTGAGGTATGTTAGCTGGAATCAAAACTAGGTCTTTGATATAGGGCACAAGAAATCGTCTGCTAAGCTACCAATTATATATGTTTACTTTATCGAGCAAAGATTGAATTGTCAAGGATTTTATCTTGCTTGGATCCATGATCAATGCTCATAGAAAAATTAGTTAAAGGGATCAAACAATATATTACATTAGGTAAATATGCTATAGAAGACCTCTTTAAAGTGTTAAAAAGCAAGGATGTTACTGTGAAGAGCAAGGTATGCCTGACCCAGGCAATGGTATTTTTGATTGTCTCATATGCATGTGAGAAAGTTTGACATTGAATAAGATTAAACGATAGAAAAATAGGTTCATTTGAACTATGGTGTTGGTGAAGCATATTCAAAGTACCACGGAGTAACAAAAGAACAAACAGCCCTATCTTAGAAGACACACAGCCCGAATTCCCCTTAGAGGCAAGGCTGGTGAGACATCATCTCACATACTTTAGACACCAAGATAGATCAGTCCCTGGAGAAGGACACCATGCTTAGAAAAGTGGAGGGGCAGCAAAAAAGAGGAAGGCTCTCAGCGAGCCAGATGACAGTGGCTGCGACAATGGGCTCAAGCTTAAGAACAATGGTGAGGGTGGCGCAGGACCGGGCAGTGTTCCACTCTGCTGTACATACGAGTGGCTGTGAATGAGCATGACTCAACAGCACCTAACAATGGCAACATGTTCAGTTTGCACGGCACAACAAGTGAAAAGACTACTATCGACAGACTGCGTGACTACGAAAAATAATGGGAAGCTATCTCCTAATTAAGAACCGTAAGCAGCCAATTTTAGATGTTTTATTATGTCCCTTTAAAATTTGTTTTAGAGGTGTAGTATTGCCAACTACCCACACTGAGAAAATCAGGTTTTTCTGTTACTTTCTGTTTTTTTGGTCATATAACTTCAAAAGAATAATGAAGCTCTTGAAAGTGGTTCTTATTTCTATCCCACCCCAGTGCAACACCATTTATGAAAGAGCTTTATATAGTTGAATTGAACCCTAAATATGACATTTTTTGTTGAAAATACACACTTCTTAGATATTTAGTACTAGCCTATAAAATAGATAATAAGAGATCTACTTACCATTTACATGAGGACTAATATACAAGCTGTTGGGCTGCTAACAGGAAATCAGTGGTTCAAATCCATCTATTTTGTGATGGTTGTATCGGGTGCAGCTGCCTTAGCAGTTCCCTGCTTCAGCTTGCAAGATTGACTTCCTCCAAGACATCCCCAAGGAGAAGCCGCATGTGTCTAGGTACCTATTTTCTCCCATTTCTACTCTGCTCACTCTTCTTTAAGTTCATGCCTTATAGCTAAAAAGAGATGGACTCAACATAACTCTCTACTAGTCCTTTCACATTAACATAAAGAAGATAACACACTCCTAAGTGGATTTATAACCGTAGGCATAGAGGGTAGGCTTTACAACACCTTTGGAAGCAGAATTCAGTCCAGGGTAGCCAGAAATAAGAAAGTGAGACAGAACAGCACCACATTCGAGTGTTAACTAACCCAGGGACAAGGGAACAACAAGTGATCTAAAATCGATGGTGAGGAGGACGTAGGGTGCCTGGTAGGGCATGGTCAAGGGCAATGTAACCAAGAGGAATTACTAATACCGGAATGAAGGCAAGCACGATGGTGGGACAAAAAGAAAGTAAAAGGAAACAGGAAAGAACTATGAGGCAAAGGGCATTTATAGAGGTCTAAATACAGGTGTATACATAATGTAAATATATTTATAACAATAGGGAAATAGATCTATGTACATATATTTATATGTTAAGTATTAAGGTAGCAGATGCACATTGGGCCTCTACTCAAGTCTTCCCTCAATGCAAGAACACTATTCTAATAAGCTGACATTCTGTGGTGCTCACTTTCTTGACACAATCACTAAAGACAAAGTGGGTGCATAAGTAAATATGGTGAAGAATGCTGATGGTACCCGGCTATCAAAAGATACAGCGACAAGGAAGAGACGAGCTAGTCAGGGTGCTGTATAGCACCGATGAAACATAAAACTTTCCTCCAGTTCTTTAATGCTTCCTCTCCCCACCCGCTATCATGACCCCAATAATACCTTACAAATCTGGCTCGACCGGAGCATGTACACTGGTATAGATAAGAGCTGGAAACATGAAATCCAGGACAGATAAACTCCTCAAGACCAATGAGTGTAGTCATACCAGGAGATAGGGGAAAGATTCGTGGAGAAAGGGGGAACTGATCACAAGGATCTACATACAATGCCCTTCCTGGGGGACAGACAACAGAAAAGTGGGTGAAGGGAGAGACATCAGTCAGTGTAAAATATGGGGGAAAAAATCATAAATTATCAAGGGTTCATGAGGGGGCCAAAAATTGAGCTGATACCAAGGGCTCAAGTAGAAAAATGTTTTGAAAGTGATGATGGCAACATATGTACAAATGTGCTTGACACCATGGATGGATGGATGGATTGTGATAAGAGTTGTACAAGCCCCTGTAAAATGATTTTAAAAAACAACTAAACAGCACCACATTCATTGGGGGGAAAGATATTTTCATTTTTCAAAATCTATTTTGAAGTACAATGATACCAGTGACAAAATAATATCCATGCACCAATAAGGAAAGCCAATTAATATAATTATTACTCAAAACTTACATGCCAGCCATTAATGCCACAGATGAAGGAGAAACTGAATATTTTTTAACAACTTTTGTATTTATCAAATATGTGAGCATAGTGCATTGGTAATCAAAATGTAATTGATTGAAAATCAAAATTGGTCATCAAAGTACGAAAAAAGTGAAGTAATGGGGGAAAAATGACTTTGTCCATAGAAATAATGCTGGAGACCAGATGATAGAATTTTGGAAGAGCAACAACTTACTCATCATCTATTCCTTTTTTCAACAACATAGACAATAATAAACACCTGGACTTCGCCAGATGGAATACATAAGGGAACAAAACAACTATTTCTGTGTATGAGATGATATCTCAATAGCATCAGTCAACAGAGCCAGGGTCCAATGGGAATAAGCCATCAAGTGTTCATATTCCAGTTCAAGTTAAAGCTGAAAAAAATTAAAACAAATCAATGAGAGTTGAAGTGGGGCCTTGAGTATATTACCTACAGAATTTAGAGACTATCTCTTAGGAATTGTTTTGGTACATTGAACAGCAAAAGACTGAAGACCAGATGAATTATTAGATTACATCAAAGACGTCCATGAGTAAACTAAAAGGAAAGAAAGAGGAAAAATAAATTGGATGTAATAAGAGACTCTTGAAAGTAAAGTATCTAAAGTTAACAGAAAAGATGAACTAAAACCGTTCAACCAAGAATGTATGTAGTTCAAGAAAGCAAAATAACGTATATATTGAAATGTACAAAGACCTGGGGTTAGAAAACCAAAAAAGGAGTAACATTCAGAATTTCTCAAGATGAAATAAAGAAAACTTCAAGCCTAAAGTTGAAATATTGAAGGATTCTACAAGCAAAATGTTGAATGGCACAACCAACATCAAAAGAAGATGAAAGGAATACGCAGAGTCATTTACCAAACAGAATTGGTCGATAGTCATCTATTTCAAAAGGTAGCATACGATCAAAACCCAGTGTTGCAGAAGGAAGAAGTCCAAGTTGCTCTGGAAGGGATTGGCAAAAACAAGATCCAGGAGTTGATGAGAATACCATTTGAGATGTTTCGGTAATTCGATACAATCCAGGAAGTGTTCCCCTATATCAAGAAAGTTTGTTGACCAATCAACTAGAAAAGATCCATGTATGTACCCATTCCAAAGAAAGGTGATCTGATGGAAAGCAGAAATTATCAAACAATATCATTAATATTTCATGCAAGTAAAATATTGCTGAGGATAAGTTTAAAACATTTACAGCAACATAGGAAACCAGAAATTCTAGCCAGATTTGGGAATGGACATGGGAAGAAAAATACTGATGCCAGATGGAGAAAATCCCCAAAAGATGTTTCCCTATGTTTAAATGAGTATGCAAGGACATTTCAGCTGTGGATTGTAACCCTTTAATAAATAACAAGGTGAAAATGGAAATTCCAGCACACTTACTCGTGCTCACCAAAGAACCTATACATAGACCAACAGGCAGTTGTACACACACAGCTGGTTTAAAATCAGTTGTCCCAGTTGTGTCTTTTCACCATTCTTATTTAATCTGTATGCTGAACAAATAATCTGAGAAGCTGGCCTGGCCTACCTGAAGATGACTTTGACATCAGGATTGGGAAACTCGTGAACAACCATGACAACCTTGCTTGCTGAAAGTGAAAGGACTTGAAGCACTTACTGATGAAGATCGATGACTAAAGTCTTTGGTATGGATTGGAAACAGTACAGCCAGAATGTGCTTTTGTTAGGTGCCATCGAATTGGTTCTGACCCATAGCAACCTTATGACTCTGTGATGAGAATTTGTTTCATGTCCTCTTGACATATAACCAGGAGAGGGTGTCATGGACAGGCTGTCATGACTAGTCAAGCAGAGATCAGTACAAAAGATGGCGCTCAATGAGAAGGGTTAACACAGGATACAATAGGCTCAAACATAGCAACAATTGGAGGATGGTGCTGGACTAGGCAGTGTTTCATTCTGTCTACATTGGTGGCTATAAATTGGAGCCATTTCATAGCACCAAAGAACAATAGCAATAGCATATTTTACCGTAAGTTCACAAAATTGAAATCTTAATAAAAGTCAGTTTAGAAAAAAATCCTAAACTTCATAGCCATATTAAATTGTATGTATTTCTAATATAGTTGTCTAAAATTTTCTCTTTCAGAAAATCTGGTATCGAACCAGTACAAGCATGTGACTTTAGGTTATTGTGAAGAAAACAGGGACCCCTCAAAATCTAAAAAGTTCAGGTATCGTGTGTTTATATAGTTCTGTTACTTTATCCATTTCCATTTTAGTGTAATTTTAAAATTGTATAGAAACCTAATTCTTAAAGTCCTTAAAGATTAATAAAAGTTCTTATTTGTTTGTTTTTAATTGAGAACTAGGGAGTATTTTCTGTACATACAAACAGTGATGAGTCTAGACATTTGGCATACTAGGGTAGTGAGAGAAAAGCTATGATCTTAGCGAAATTCTGGGAGAGCATTATCGTGTGACCAATTTCTACTCATTTGGGGTGCTGATTCCCACCCTCTTTAGTAGCCTTATTATTGCTGAACTGAGGAAGCACCTAATCATGTCTTTGTTCTAATTATAATTTAGAAAATTGAAGAGGAGATGACAGGCAGAAATGGTTAAGCTTCTTAAATACTGGTGCAAAAGGTAGACTTGCCATAAATTAATGCTTTGCAGAAGTAAAATTCTACCACATTTGACTAGACTGATAAATGTAGTAGATTAGAAAAAGTAACTACTGTCCTTTTCATTTTTTCTACTGTTTATATGCTAGGTGCTTGTGCTGTTCATATACTGTATCCTTTAATTAAGGCTTACAGTAACTTTAGCAGTTGTAACTATTCTTTTCCCCCTTTATGGATGAAAGATTCAAGTCTCAGAAAGGCTAAGTCATTAACCTGAAGTCATACAAGCTGCTAAATGTGAGAACTAGAATTTGAGCCCTATATCTCTTATTTTAGAAACTTTTCAGTTCAAACCTAGCCCGCTGTTCCATGGGAGAAAGTTGAGGCTATCGGCTCCCATAAAGATTTGCTGTCGGTAATTTAGAAATCGACTCAATGGCTGTGGGTTTGGTCTAGGTTTCTCTCGTCACTATCCTGTATTGCCTGCCACTTGTTATCATTTTCTGACTTAAGATCTCACTAAATAGTAGATGGGTGGATAAAGGATAGGAGCAAAATTTAGGAAAGAACAAGTAAATAATAATATGTAAAAATAAATGGCTAGCTCATTAAAATCTATGCAAGTAAAACAAATTTTACGTTTTAATTTAAAAATTGTACACAACAAGCACAGTACACGTTGTCTTCTTTGTACCTTTAACTAAGCCTTTAGACTCATAGACTTCCAAAAGCCATACTTAGCACAAGTCTAATTTAGAAGGATTTAGGACAAAAATCAGTTGCCACCAAGATATACATTGTCCAAGAAACTATGTGGTCTTTCTGTTTTCGGATGCCTCTCTTTTCCCCCAAACCCCACAATGTGACAGTTTAGTTGCAAGGAAATGATGATTTATTTAAGTTCAGCTACCAGATTACCCTAGTTCGGAAGCCTCATTTCTTCTTCTTCTTTTTAAATCATTTTATTGGGGGCTCTTGCAGGTCCCATCACAATCCATATGTACATCCATTGTGTCAAGCACATTTATACATATGCTGCCATCATCATCCTCAAAATACTTTTCCTCTACTTGAGTCCTCAGTATCAGCCCCTTACTTTCTTTCCTCCCTCCCCCTTGAACACCTAATAATTTATAAATTATTATTTTTTTCATGTCTTACACCAACCACTATCACCCCCGAGCCACCCCTCCACTGTCCCCCTGGGAGAAGTTGTTTGTTTTTTTTTTGCCGTTGAGGTTTTGTTTGTTTTTTTAATAATAATGTTATTAGGGACTCATACAACTCATCACAATACATACATACATCAATTGTGGCAGGCAAATCACATTTGTACATTCATTGCCTTCATCATTCTCAAAACATTTCCTCTCTACCCAAGCCCCCAGCATCAGGTCCTCATTTTCCCCCTCCCTCCCTACTCTCCCCTCCCTCATGAGCCCTTGATGATTTATAAATTATTATTTTGTCATATTTTGCCCTGTCCAACATTTCCCTTCACCCACTTTTCTGTTGTCCATCCCCCAGGGAGGAGGTAACATATAGTTCCTTGTAATCGGTTCCCTCTTTCCAACCCACTCTCCCTCTCCCCTCCCAGTATCGGCACTCACACCACTGGTCCTGAAGGGATCATCTGCCCTGGATT